CCCACCCAACCAACCCACCCACCCAACCAACCAATTAACCAACCAACCAATTTACCAATTAATCAATTAACAAATTAACCAGCCAACCAACCAACCAACCAATCAACCAACAAGCCAATTAACCAACCAACCGACCGACCAACCAACCAGCCAACCCACCCACCCACCCAACCAACCCACCCACCCACCCAACCAACCAACAAGCCAATTAACCAACCAACCAACCAACCCACCCACCCACCCACCCAACCAACTAGCCCACCCACCCACCCACCCACCCAACCAACCAACCAATTAACCCACCCACCCAACCAACCAACTAACCAACCAACAAGCCAATTAACCAACCAACCAACCAACCCACCCACCCACCCGCCCGCCCACCCACCCGCCCGCCCACCCACCCACCCACCCAACCAACCAGCCTCCTGGCCGGGGCGAAGCCCCGAGCCGGCTAATAGAAAAACAAACACCGGTTGCTGAGGAAGCCCTAGAGTCAAAACCTGGCCAAGCCCGCTTCAAAGTCGAAAATGGGGAGCCTTGAAAGGGAACCTTGAGCATGCAATATGGGTGGATCGTCTTTGTCTGTTTCTATATGCACACCCCCTTTTTGGATAGTTTTAAAGGGCAACCAAAAAGAAGCCCACCATTTTGTGGGTGCAACCTTAAAAAGACATCCCCATATTGAATGTTGCTGCTTAGATAGGGCGGGAACAACGTGACATGAGACCCTTACTCACAGCTGCCCACACATCCGTTGATCATGGATGGGCAGAGGGTCACCAGAGTATCAACCGCTAAATCGCCCATACTGTTTCACGAATATGGCAAACAGGGATGTAATGTTTCAGCTTTTCCAGACCGCCCCCCCCCCACCGACCAAGAAACATTTGAATGACTGCCCGCTTTTCGGTTTCCATGCACCTCCCAGGCATGCAGTATCTGAACTGGGCCCCGGGCAATAAATCCACAATGGCCATGATGAGAAAGATTATATCTAATCTGTTCCACCACCTGATCACGAGGGACACATAGACATGCCAAGTTTGGTGGCGTAACGCTTCGTGGACACCTCAACACTATCAAAGAGGTGTGAGCGTCGCGAAACTGTGCAATTGTGGCATCTATCCCGTCAGAAATTGCCGCTTAATATACTGGAACAGTCTTTTGTATGTTTGAGAAGTGGCACGTCAAGTGCACGCAGGAATGACAAAGGCCACATCAACTGTGCCTGAAAGACTACCCCCACAAAGGTAAGTGCAAGGAACAACCAGTAGATCCAAGGCACCTATAAGTGCGTCTCTTGTCTGCTCGGTAGATCCCTGCATTGTGAAACGCATGAAGAAGGTCAGGCATCCCTTCCCTTACCCGCTCTCTGCACCGAAAACCATCATACATGCGCAAATGAAAGAATAACGCCCTCTTGGGATAGCCCCTGGAGTCTATCAGTTTTGGTCACACAGGAAACCTCGATCCTGCTGACTCCAAAAAAGGAGTTAGCTTGGTTTCTTGGTCAGAGCTCAAGCCGGCCCTGCCTCTCAGCTCCTTTGCAATATTTCTGGCAGCCACTCATGTAGTAGCGGATGCAACACTCGAACAGCAAGACGGCTGCAAAGCCCTCAGTCCGAGCCGTCCGACATCAAGCTCGAAGAAAATGAACGGCTCCAAAAACGCTTCAAACCTAGAGGGTCTGCCCCAGACTGGCGATGAATGTTCCAAGGGGCGGCCTTGCTTTTCAGTGAATACATCAGGTCCCAAAACATCTCTCCTGTTGACAATCTAGAAAAAGGCTGCCCCCCCTCCCCCTCCAATGCAGGATATCCGCAGTTCTAAACTAGAGTTAAGGCTCTGCAAGTATGAACTCGAATTAATCGTTGGCTTTGATTGTCAACTGCTGCGGCGAAATCCTTCGCCGCTGGATGTACTTGGCAGGTGTTTATAGCCCGTGAATGGTCAATGGGGGCGTAATTACCTTCACATCGCTGTAGCTGAATCGGAGGCAAGCGGCAATCTCGAAAAATTGCCAACCAGGCCAGTCAGCATAGTCAGGATCGCTCTGAATGCCGATCCTGACCGGCCGGCAAAGCGCCCAGTGCAATAAAAGCGTCCGACGCCTCTGATTTCTGTCTGCCAACCATCCTTTACTCCCCTGCATTGTTTCTCACCTGGAATCCAAAAGGGGACTTGCACAAATCCAAAACATGATGGCTTTTTTGAGCTTCCATCTTCATCTGGACAATTGCTTTCAAGCTGAAATGCGAAAACCCAGCCCGGTGCACATCGAGGCGCATGATGCCATTGGCCAGAATGGTAATGAGCACAAACGGCTCCTGCGACGCGCCAAAGAAGGATGAAAGAACAGTTCTCCTGGCACCTGGGAAGCTTTTCCGATGCTTGCCGCTCGATCAAAGCGAATGGCCTGCACATGTTTACAACCAACACGAACATTTACGCAAGTTCCCTCTGCCGGGCACTTTCCAACTTGTTCGCATAACATGCTGCACTTATATACAGGGCTCAAGCAAATGCGGCAACCATTCGACCGCTCCTTGCTGTTGCCAGTGTGCTCACATGCGAGAGAGTCATGCTCACTCCGGTTGCACGTGCATGCCGCGTCCAGGGCATTTTGATTTTGACTCACCGTGTCACCCGCTTTATCAAACGCGCGTAGACACCTTGCGCTGAGCATGCAATGATGAGTGCCGTCACCTTTGCAGCTGTCTATACTGTTGACCATCACTGCACTCAATCGTGTCCCCTTCCTGCCGTTCACAGGATGTTTTCTATAAGCGTGTCCTGCCAAACTTCTAGTGAGAAACAGCTATACAGCCAGCTGTGGCAGTTTGGCAAGCGTTGGACACATGTCAGAAGGAACATGTCTCAATACAGTAGATGCACACCGGTGTTCTGTTGTGACATGCCGTTACCTGCCTTGGGCAAAAGATGTGAATCACTTGATGTTGAAACTTGGATGTTTCGCGAGAGGGACGGACCCCCCCCCCCTCCCCCCAAAAAATATGTTCCTTTGGTTTCCCTTCAACACCACCCCAATAAGGCCCCCCTCATACCCAGAAGATAGCCCACTTCTTTCCTTTCAACTGCGATTACTCACGTTCCCGTTGACACTATTGCTGCGGGCGCTTCAGTGCATTTCTGTTGTCTATGTTCCCTTTCGGCCTCTGTTGTTCCTCTGCTACCTTGAGGGTTCCCTGTGATTCCCATTTAGGCATCCCCCCACCTACCTCTATTTTAGCACAAAAGGTGATGTTGACAAGGAGCAAAAGGGGAAATATCGGGAGCCCCTATCATTTCTATCACTTGAGGTGCCAAGATCCTGTTGCAACCAACCATTCCTCTGCTTTGCACGGTTCCTGCCGTGCTGTGCTTTTGCCTTACAGCTCAAGTTCTACTTGCCGTTCAGGGCTTTGCACCCACATTGAGCCAAGTACCCTTTCTGATATTGAGCGAGGTGCCAAGTACGCCAAGATATCCACTTCATCTGGAGGAGCAGCCAGATCATTAATTCTGACCTCGGCTTTAGCTCTCAGCCTCACATCCCCCTTAACCACTTGGACACCAACCCCTTCGCCTGCCAAATTGCCTTTCAGTCCTTTTCGTGCCATACAAAACGCAAGACCCTTACTTTGTATTTCGAGAAAGCAATGCAAATGAAAGCTAGCCAATAACTACACGATTCCGCTAAACGTGATTTAATGACGTATGGCAACGATAACTCACTAGACGAAACAGGTCCCTTGGATTCCCTTGGGGACTCATTGAACAATGTCGGTACAGCTGGACGACAAGGTGACTCTGCATCTGCAGAAATGCCACCGTTGATGGCAAGTCAACGGAAAACACACTTTGCGCCCATTCGCAACATCCATACTTTGGCAGTTGCCCCAGGACCCCAACTCCATCCTCTAAACAGGATACAGGAGTCTGTGTCAAAAATACGGGGGCCCAAGCAACGGCAGCTCGCCTTGCGTCCCTTTCAACCAAGCTGTGAAAAAACACCCACCCACATACTGTGGATAGACAGAATCCTGCGGCAGTTGCGATGGACGACACCCTATACCAGCCTATGAATACTGGGATAAACAATCAATCCCAGCTGCAGGAATTTGTGCGTCCACGGTTGGCTGTGGGTGGGTCAAACATATGTTCCCAAAGTGGAACCCTGGTAAATGGAAACATGGACTAAAACCTGTGGTCGCCTGGTGGTTCAATTTTGACCCATAGCCACCGCCCCGACGAGCTGCGAAGGTCAGCTCCGCCACCAGGCGATTCGCATCCCCTGCCAGCAGGATCTCCTTCACTGCCTGCGGGAACAGTCCAAGAAGCTGTGGCCGATGTCCAAATCCCAAGCTACTAGAAAATATTCAAAAAGTCATATGAACGCGGCTCCGTTCCCGAAGTTCACCTCCGAGGCCAACTACCAGAGCTTCGCTCTTCGCTTCAATTAGGAATCCTAGAAACTTTAGAAGATATTGAAGGGTTCTAGGACATGATAGAATGTTCGAAAAACCAAATCCCAGATAATTTGCGGCTGCCAAGAGGATGGACAGCATCCAGTGGTCTGGAGTTCTTTGTTTCCCACATTCACAGCACGTCCAGCAAAAGGGTAATTCCACAGTTGGTTGAGTTTCACCCGCAGCAAAACCTCAGGCCTTCATATCCCTTATAGTGACTATGGGTGTAGCGAAATGTCCTTTCGAGCGTGAAGGTTCGTGCTCCTTTTGTAGGAAGCGGCTTCGCCCCTTACTCCATTCGCCAAGAGTAAATGGATGCTAAATGGGGCCTCAACACATTCATCGACTCAGTTTCCTCTAGCAATTGTGCACGAAACTCGCCAAAGGCGAGCACACCAACTACAGAGCCCCAGACCCTCCAAGCAAGTCCCGCCTCGGCTTCCAAAAGAAAGCCCTTAGTTTTTTGACCGGCGCGCAAGGTTCACACACGTCAAACGGCAGTCTCCAAAGGCCAGGCTCTTTTTTCTTTTCAAGGCTTCACGGTGATAGGTTAGAATCAGTTTTCATACCCAACCAATAGGTACAGGTAGCATGCAGTTGGAGATTTCTCAGAAAATAGGTGGGCCACAATTGGGTTACAAGTTCAAACTGATTGCGACTCGCTGTCGATCAATCTACCCCCATGTTCCTACAAGTGCTCCAACAAAAACAGGGACAAAACACGGTCTTAGGAATCAGGCAAGCATCACTCAACCAATCTGCCACCATGCCTCTGAATCACTCCCATGGCACCAAAGTAAACTTGGACCCATCGGTTGATGTCCTCAAAAGGGAAAGCCTTGGGTTAAGTCCGTGGGCAAGTCAAACAAATGGAACCCTATGGCTCCTCTTTGAACATCAGACAGGCTCTCAACTTCCAGTCTTTCGCGCATAAACATAGCTCGCCTTGGATCTTATGTTGTCAGGTCCTCGTGGCCCCAGTTTTCAGTACACAAAAATCTAGCCTGTTCAGAGTCTGGTCCATAGCCGACCCTGAAAAAAACCAAAAACAGCTATCTGGCCACCCCAAAAAAAAATAACAATTCTGGAGGAGAGATCGCGCCGTGCCCCTCTGCAGGAAGGCCGGCCTGGAACTGCGCCATGAACTTGGGCGACGTGAAGATCCTCTTACTCACCTGAGCTTGGGTGACCCTAAATGGGCTCAAACTCAAAGGCTCTGGGATGCTACACCTGATTGTCCTTTGGTGCAAGCTGGAACCCGCTTACTAGAGCCTATTTAGGGTCCCCTCAGCATTTGTCCTTCGCACTGGGATTTGGGCGTCTCCAGTTCGTCGGGGGGGGGGGGGGGTTGCTCCACACGACCTTTCGCATAGACCGGTGCCAGAGGAAAACAAAAGGCCCCCCTTTCACATCTTTCACTAATCCTCTACCCTTGTGGTTTGGTCATCTTGAGCTTGCTCCGCAATGGGGTATCCCAAATGCCCAAGCCCACTTATCACAAGGCCTCCTGCTCATCCATCTGGGGAAGTTCTGGCAAGAGTCAGTTGGAGCACTTTGACGGGAATCTTCCTCCTCCTCCCAAGGCCGGTTTTCGTTCTGCGCCAAGAAGCGGTGCCACGTTGAAGTTACGCTCCGGCTCGGCACTTTGCAGGCCGCCTAGATGCAAGTCTCCGCGCAACGAAGAAATGGGGAGTTGTATCGGTTGCAGAAAACTGAGAGTGACAACATGTCCGGTGTGTGTGTGTGTTCACAATATCAAAGTCAATAATATGATCCTCAGTGCACTGATATTTGAACACAGTAGTTCCGGCTTTGCAGTGAATGCCTGGATCCCCACTCAGTCGAGTATGCGCATCTGTGATGCCTGGCATTCATCGAGACTTTAACTGCACTGCGAAGAGCGGACTGTCTAAAAGGGACTACGGCTTGTTTGACCTATGAAGCGCAGTGCAATCCATGCTTGGTGCTGAGCACGAGCCAAATCGAGCAGCCTGGGCATCACAGCGTCCAAAGAGTTTGAAGGGGCTGCAAACAAAAGGAATTTAATTGGGAGCGGAACATTGACAACTCTGACGCATACCGCATGAGTCTGAAACTGCAGGAACGGGCAACGGCGGGACGCAAGGGATTTTTCGGGGAACTACCTGTTGAAGCGTTTCCAACAGGAGTCCGCATCGGTAGCACGCTTTGCCAGTTGAGAGCACAGAACTTCTCACACCCAAACTTACGAGAACGCCATTGCCACCCTACTCACTCCTTTTTCCTGCAATCACTGCTCCCCCCCCCGCCCGCCTCGTCCCATAAGCTCAGACTTTCTCCTGCCAACTCCTTGCGTCATCCTTTCCGATATTCGTCTGCTGCCGGTGTTTTGCGGCCTCCGGGCATGGGCTCAACACAAAATCACGAATCATGAATAACCCTTGGACCAAAACCAGAAACATTCTTATCCCATGAACCTATTCGGAAATATGATAATTCCGCCTTTTTGTGAAGGGGGGGCTATGGATGGCCAATTGGATCTTCTTCCTCACTTGTGCCAATTCTAGTGCATCTTCCTCCCATCTATCGTGATGCACCATGATCGATAGATCACTAGCGTTCGCCTCATCATACTCTGGCTCCGTGCTGCATCCTTTTGCCTGTTTGCATTGGGATGGATTGCGAGCCTGTGGCAAGGGCTAGCCAGACCGTATTTGCGACAACTGCACAGTGGGACACGTGCGCCCCATCGCTTGGATGACGGCTGCCTGACGCAACACACGGACAGGTGCATAATGTTGTCTTGCACGATCGATTGTTTGACTAGAACCCGATGAAGGGCGAATACGAGTCAAAAGTCAGGGCAAACCGGTAGGTGTGGAAGCCGCATTTGACGATGCGGGAAAGACGTTTGGAGGGCCTCGCAAGTGCACCGAGAAAATGAGAATACAAACAAACTCAACGAATACCGACACATGCCAAGTCCCATGGCACTCACAAAAAACGGCAGTGTTTCTGTTGAGGCGCAGTACCCTTTTTGGGGTTGGTTTAAATGAAAACCACATGCACCACCCAATTTGGGGGTCCCCCCATGTTGGCACATGCCAAAACAAGCAAATATCTTCTTCAACTCGCTGTGTGCTTCCGTAAACTTAGATCCCAGTCAGGTTCCTGCAAGAAAACAACTGGGACACAGCCACTGTCACCTGGCGAACATTTGGATCCGAATGCAGATTGGTGTAGGAGATTCCTACGCCACCCGCACAAGTTTTCGACTTTGCTTGGTGACCCCGTCAAATGGGCACAAGGGGAATCGTGCACTGGCCAGCTGTCAACTCATAAGCAATTATAGAGACTGGGGAACGAAGGGAGCCAGGAGCTATTCCTTTCTCTTCATCTCTTTTATCTTTCTTGTTTACCATTATCTCTGAGTCTTTCTCCTGGTCTTTTCTTTTCTATTTACAAGTCTTTATATTAAGGATTCTATCTTTCTAGGAGTTAATGATTCATAAGTTAAACCAATCCCCAAATCTGGGCTGGACTTGGAACCCAAAGTTAAGCAGGTAAGCCGCTGGTCTGGCAATCAAACGGCACTGAGTCAACTCTGCAACTTTTCTTGCAGGAGTTGAACACTTGCTTGACTCGACAGACATGGCTCCGCCATTTTCCTGCGTCCAAGGTCGAATCAGCAACGTTTGTTTCTTTTGGCCGCCGAACTTGCCTGGGCCACTCCCAGACGGGCGTCCCAAGGCCCAACGCAGCGTGGCTCTTTCTGAACAAGAGGGAAGCTCCACGTCGCAGCCGGGGCCCATCCTGCCGGACAGCGGGGTGAGGGGGGCTAGGGCCTAGAGTTGTTGCCTCCTCCTTTTTGCTGTGGATTTCCAGGGGGAAAGGGACAAGAAGGGCAGCACTGGGTCTCTGGGTCATTTTAGAACCCACCTTTCGGGCCAATTTAAAGGAAGCCTCTAGGTGGGGTGATGTGCAAAGCTTTTCTGCCAGCAGAAATTCATCCATTCCAACAGGATTGTGTGCACACATGTGCACACCTCTCCTGATCGAAGCGAAGCTTAATGAAGTCCGCCAAGACATTGAGCAGCATGTTGGTCTCCTTTGCGAGGTGTTGCAGGACTAGGACTCAAATACTGAGCCGCGACTTCGCATCTCAAGCTATCCGTACGACTCCAGAATATGAAATGGAGTATGTACATGCAGCCCCACAAGGACCTAATTGCCTGAGCTCCTTTTTGGGCCCCCATGCGAGCTCGCAATAAAATGGGCGGACATGCCGCTCGGAGCTGGACTTATAATTTTCAGGTGCGACAAGGGTCCCCCCTGGAATGTTGGTTTCTTTTTGGTTTCCCTTTGAATACCGACCAAGCAGGGTCCACCATTTGAGAACCCCCATCTCTCCTCCCTGCCGTACGAGGTCAATCCCAGCGCGACCAGCGTTTCATGGAGCTCATCCCCCGTGATGAGCTTCTGAGGGCTCAGCGCACCCAAACGCACCTGCCATCAGACAGAGGAGAGAGACACGTGTTTCTCCAAATTCCCCCCGACCCCCTGTTGGTTGGTATTGTAGGGGAAACGAAACGGAAAGCAACCGTTTCACGATTATTTTGAGAAACCCCATATCCTCATAGGCAGGCCTCTAACATGGCGCAAGTTGCGATTTCTTTCTGGCCGATAAAGTAAACCAATTGGTCCTATGCTTCCCAACCAATGTTGTACTGGTGTTGATCAAAAACCGTTCAGACTTCGCACAAGTTTTTGTCAAAACAGGGTCTATCTCATTGACGATGGCGAATGCTCTTCAAAACGTAACACATGAGAAGTGTACTAGATGGCACCCTGCGGGCACACTTCTTGTCAGGTCCTCTTGGCACCTGACCCGGCAAAAACACAAGGTACATAGCGCACGGTCTCCAAACGAACCCGTCGCCTGCAAGCGCTCTTGCGCAGCCTGCAGCGCAAAGGAATCCTCCTTGGCTTCAGGCAAGCTACTCCAAAGCCGCGGCGCAAGGATAGACATGGCTATGATATTTGAGGAACCCGTTGAAAAGTGGTTGGTGGACGTGAATCTCTGCCAAAATGATGTTCACAGCGATGGGCAGATGACTGCAAAGCAAAGAGCGGCCAAGGCCCAGCTTCAAACATCATTTTGACTTAGGAGCAACGACACAAGCTTCAGTATACCGATGTACATGTCGCTCTCCGGGCAGCACCTACGAACTGCAAAACACTGCCAAAGACGTGCCAGTGGGGTTCTCCATATGCAGATGGGTTTGGACATGTTGCATCCAGAAACTGCATATAATGGGGGCCGTAGGGCAAAAAGCCACCCATTGGTAGCTGGCTTTAGGGGCACTTCCTCTCGACATGGGACCTAAGGGCCTGGTTCCATTTTGTTGCCCCAAGTAGCCTTCCCAGGAATTCCCTTATGCTGTTGGGTTTCTATGATTCCCTAAGTCCTCCAGTAGAGAGGTTAGAATAAGGGTACCCTTTATTTCTGTAGTCTATTTGGTAGGGGGACCCTCCCCCGGAAAAGGGTGAAAGGGCACTACTGGGGACCTGGGTGACCCAATTGGACTGCGGTGTTTGCCAGGGCTCAGCCAGCTGCGCCGCCTCAGCTGCAGCAGCGGCGTCCTCCATGTCTTTCAGGGAGGCCTGAGCAAACCGAAAGACCCGCGACTTGGAGCTCCTTACTCGGGTCGGTTTATTTGGTCTCCTGGAGCCAGGCTCCATCAGCTTTTTGGGGTCCGCTATGTTGACACATACCCGGCATCGCCCCAGACAACTTTTGAAAACACGCCGGAACACTGCAACCCCAAACAACTGAACGCCAAAAGCGTGGGACGCCGCCAAAGGGCGACCGCTCGAAACAAGATGCTCCGACAACCAGAGTTGGGAGTACAAAAGGCAGAGTTGAGTTTCAACTCAACCAATCAAGCCAATTCTTTGCTGCCAAAACCTGTACCAGTTCTGTTGGGCAGTGGCCGTCATGCTGAGGTCAAAACTTTCCGGGGGGTTGGTTTGATTCTGAGTCGGCTGCAAAAGGAAGCTGGAACCAAAACACCTGGGCCCCTTCGTTTTCAGAGCCGATTCGATGCAGCACCGTGCCTGCAGGTTCATGGCCAGCTCGCTCTGGCGCCGGGAGTTGCTGCGCTCCTTCCGCTCCTGGCCCACAACCCCCTCGGTTTTCCGCACTCTTTTATTTGTTTTTCTCTCTCTCTATACATATATACTAATATATACATAGTGTCACCATACTAAATCTGACTTTGACAAATCAAACTTTCAACCCTCCAGGCATTTGTTTGTAGGCCTCAAACACACACCACAGTGAACCATAGGCATCACGGGATCCGAAATCGAACTCCCAAGACTCCCAAGACGCTGCGGGAAACCCTTAAGCTTTGTGATACCAAGGTAGGCCATCCGAATGACAACTCCATTTAGTGGATGTTCGTGGTATCACAGGAGTGGTCCGAAAACCTTGTCCGCCATGCCCAAGTTCCTCGAGTCGTGACGGTCCTTGCGGTTGCTTCCTCGGCTGCAATTGCTCCGATTGCTGCGATTGGAGAGGGTCGGCGTGACCGCCGGCAGCGAAGTCTCTGCATCTGAACAGCTAGCATCTGACCAAACGGGCTCGCTGTGATGCTCGTCCTGGCCAGAAATTCTTAGCACTTGCAGCCAGGCTTTGAACCCGCACAGTCACCCTGCTTGGCGCAAACCAAATCGATCTCCCCAGCCTGGAGTTGAGGCACCTGGTCCTCCTGCATTCGCGGCCTGAACATCGAATCAATAAATCCATGGGTCCCTAGCCATGTCTTGCAGAATTAATGCTGCAAGCTTGCATTCTGCAACGACGCTCCAGAAAAATCGGACAGGACAGAAACCTGGATTGAAAGCAGCCGATATTCCTCAGTGGCCCATGAGAACGGGTCAAATGCAAGAGGCAAAAAGCGAAATGACTGAGCCTTGCTTTTCATGGGATCCAACCAGGGGAGCAAAAGATGGGAGTTCAGATCAACCCACAAGAATCTGGGAGACGAGTTCCCAACTGGAAACAAGTTTAATCTTGGGGCGTGCTTTTTTGTGCCCGTTCCCATCCCGAATCGAATTGCCTGATTGCCGGCAGCAGCAGGTGAGGGGTGGCAAGGCTCCTCCCGAAACCCGTCTCCTCTCACCACCCAAGCCAATGAGTCCGGTGCATTTTGGAGCTTGCGCATGATTGTTCTTTGGATCACATATTAGCTAAGCGGGGCCCTTGAGAGCCTTAATCAGAATGCGGTGAACAAGAGCGTGGTTGAATGCACATGTTTACATATTATGTATATCTATATGGTCAGGTCCCCCCCCCATGAACTACCTTTTGTTCTTTCTTCATAAAAGACTGCAAAAACACTGTGTTTTCCATAGTTTGTAGCTTTCTCGCCAATAAAAACAACAAAATACACAAAACGGATTCCGTTTTGGTATGCCTTCTTGCAGACATAGTTCAAAATATGAAAAATAGCAACAAACACTGTGTTTTTTACGTTTTTTTCAGATCCTACCATTACGAGTGGCAAAAAACCTCCTTTTTTTAGCACTTTTTACTAATTTCAATGCTTCGAAATTTATATTTTTAGACAAACCTCAAAAAACTCGAGGAAAACCAAAAAAACAAAAAACACATCGAGAAAACCAAAAAACCAAAAAAACCAAAATTCTGGGGAGAATCTTGGGTTTGGCTATTTTTTTTGTTTTTTGGTTTTCTCGAGGTTGTTTTTGTTTTTTTTGGGTTGTCCTCGAGTTTTTTTGGTTTTTATCAGAAAACCAAAAAACCAAAGGCTTTTTTGGTTTTCCAGGTGGGTGAGCCTAGAAAACCAAAAAAACTCAAGGCTTTTTTGGTTTTGGCCCTAAAACCAAAAAAATCGAGGAAAACAAAAAAAAACAAAAAAAACCTCTAGAAAACCAAAAAACCAAAAAACCAAAATTCTGGGGAGAATCTTGGGTTTGGCTATTTTTTTGGTTTTTTTGGTTTTCTCGAGGTTTTTTTGTTTTTTTGGTTTTCCTCGAGTTTTTTTGGCTTTTTATCAGAAAACCAAAAAAACCCAAGGCTTTTTTGGTTTTCCAGGTGGGTGAGCCTAGAAAACCAAAAAAAAACAAGGTGTTTTTGGTTTTCTGGCAAAAAACCAAAAAAACTCGAGGAAAACCAAAAAAACAAAAAAACCTCGAGAAAACCAAAAAAAACAAAAAAATGAGCCAAACCCAAGATTCTCCTCAGAATTTTGGTTTTTTTTGGTTTTTTGGTTTTCTCGAGGTTTTTTTTGGTTTCAGGGCCAAAACCAAAAAAGCCTTGGGTTTATTTGGTTTTCTGGCAAAAAGCCAAAAAAACTCGAGGAAAACCAAAAAAAACTAAAAAAACTCGAGAAAACCAAAAAAAACAAAAAATGAGCCAAACCCAAGATTCTCCTCAGAATTTTGGTTTTTTGGTTTTTTGGTTTTCTCGAGGTTTTTTTTGGTTTCAGGGCCAAAACCAAAACAGCCTTGGGTTTATTTGGTTTTCTGATAAAAAACCAAAAAACTCGAGGAAAACCAAAAAAAAACAAAAAAACCTCGAGAAATCCAAAAAAAAACAAAAATAGCCAAACCCAAGATTCTCCCCAGAATTTTGTTTTTTTGGTTTTTTGGTTTTCTCGAGTTTTTTTGTTTTTTTTGGTTTTCCTCGAGTTTTTTTGGTTTTAGGGCCAAAACCAAAAAAGCCTTGAGTTTTTTTGGTTTTCTGATTTAAAAAAACTAAAACAACTCGAGAAAAAACAAAACATGTTTTAAGGGTATAGACCTGACCATATATATTGCTTCTCATCACGCAGCAGACTGTATACATATATCTAGAAGCAACACCATATACATGTCTACAGCTTCTGACAGCGCTGCGGGCTTGTCTGATTGAGGTCCGAATGGTTTCCGAGATGCGCCGAGTGTTTTCCGAGAGGTTTCCGAATTGTTTCCGAGAAGTTGTGAGAAGTTGTGAATGGTTTCCGAGATGTCCGAGTGTTTTCCGAGAGGTGTCCGAATTGCTTCCGAGAAGTTGTGAGAAGTTGTGAATGGTTTCCGAAAGGTTTCCGAGTTCTTTTTTTATTGCGATGATGGTGAACGTGCAAGTGCTCTTCTCTTTTATGCCGAGCGCCACCTCTCACGATTCCTGCAGCTACAAAATCGAGACGATGTTACACGCCATTGGGGGACTACTGCATCAGATCCGTCACCATGCTGCCGGTTGCCTCCCATTGGTTGCAGTCCTTGTGCCAATGTGTCCACTGAGCCGAGCGGATCTTGCGTTCGAGGTCCTTACTGCCGACGTTCCTGGGTGTGTACTTCAGGTAGCTGCGAATGTGCCCCCAGATCCGGTCGATGATCTGTGTGCCGCTCTTCACCTTCAACTTCTTGCCGCTGGGAAGGGTGTGGCTACAAATCTTGGTGTAGTGTGGCCGCACCCACACATTCTTTCCATTCACCTGGATCTTCTTTTTCTTGTGCACAACATTGTCGTGCAGCACACCTGGAAGTTTCAACTTGTAGGCCCTTGCACCATCTGTGTGCAGGACCACACTGCGGTTCAAGAGGTGCTTCCGCGCAATGGGCTCCCAGTCTCTGCGCCTGATGGCACCCGGCCCGGGCGATCTGGGCGTGGTAAGGCGTGGCTTGAGCCTGAAGAGCATGAGAGTGTCAGGCCTCCCACGCTCCACAATACCACCCCACTGTTCCCATTTGGCCTTGCTCGCATCCAGGACCAACTCCTTGCCGAGGTCAACCTCATCAGCTTCCACATCGGGCCATTCACACTGACTGCCGTAGAGCACATCCTTTTCCTTCATGCGAACATGCCGTGCGCGGGCAACCTCGAGGTTCCGGTAGATCTTGCCAACCGGCTTGTTGTCCATATCCAGGATGAGGTGGGCGGAAGCCTGCGGGACACCGGCCACTGCGCAGCAGAGGGCTGCGGCTTGCTGATTCAAGCTAGTGACACTTGCCCCTGATCCACCGAAAAAGATCGGGTGAAAGTCCTGAGGACGAACAAACCTCTGGCAACCTTTGCGGGAGCATCTGTGTGTCCATGATGAACGTGACTTCTCATAGAAAAGGGAGCCCATTGTTCCTTTGCCACAATGGGGGCATGGCTTCCCGGCCCAAGACTGGAGAAGGCCTGCTTTGCGCAGCAAGGCCAACAGTCTGACCCCTTTCGTGGAGAGCAGCGTCTCAACGGAGATCCCCCATCGATGCTTTTTCTTGATGAACTTCTTCATTACGGTGTGGTGCCGCACATACGGTACATTCTTGCCTGTGCTCTTCATAGGCTTCGCCTTCTTCATCTGGGCCCGGCTGCGCGCAACACCTCTTTTTGGTGCGGGCCATCGATGTGCTGGCTTCACCTTCTTGATGGGCTTCGGCATCTTGTCAACAGATTCGTGACCTATTCAGCTACACGCTACAAGACAAAACTTTTGAGCCCTCAGCGCGCATCCTCATGAGCAAATGCGTGTCCAGCATAATTACACGTGCCAAGATTAGACAAATGCAATAGATGTGCTATCTGCTTTTGCGATCCTTTGTGCCCTGTGCGTGCCAACACTGCTCTTATGTATCTAACAAAACTGCAGCCGTTTGCTGCATTCTGAGCTACACACACAACACTGCCTCACTCCTCATCCACAACGTCCATCTCATCCAGCATGTTCTCCAGCTCCTGCTCAAAGTCGTCCTGCAGTTCCTTGCCCTCAGCCATGATGGATTCGGTCTCTTCAATCAAGTCACCTTCTGGGTCAGTGAGGTCACTCACATGCCGCGCTGGCGCATCGCCTTCCGGAGGAGGCATGGACACGTCCGGCAGCTCTTGACGTCTTCGAAGTTCGCGGGAGTAGTCCTGGGTTTCTGCTTTACAGGCGAGTCAGAGACGTCAATGATCAGGTCCGTCTCCACGAGCTTTCGGGTGAAGGTGCCCTTGCGCTCCAGCTTGACTGCTTTGTCCTCAGCAGGGGCTGTACCCAAAGTGAATCCAGGCAACGAGGAGGCAGGAGCTGGACCCAAAGTGAATCCAGGCAACGAGGAGGCAGGAGCTGGACCCAAACTGGATGAAGGCAGGGAAGTTGTATTGCTCTCTGCCAAGCGCTCATTGACCGAAGAAGCGGAGTACATCTTCTGCTGACGTGCGCCGCTCTCCTGAGCCGAGGTCTTGATCCCGAAGAGGCTTGTGTTCCTCACAAAGGATCGCACCGGCAAGTCCTTCTTGCCAGCCATAGCCCCTTCCATCCACTTCTCCTCCCACTGGAGCTTCTTCTCAAAGTCCTCTGGCAAGGCGGTCCCTCCTTTGCGATAGAAGTCGTAGACCACGCGCGACTCGTCCACTAGGAAGTCCGTCTTCTCGTTGAGCGGCTTGCGCAGAACCGGCTGCTTGTCTTCGCCCGCCGGCCTGATGTACAGGAAGGTCTTGGTGTTGATGAGGATGTGGGTGCGCTTGAGGACGGCCATGATGTTGGACTCATTCACCTCCTTAGCATACCATGCCGCCTCCAACATCTTCATGAACTGGCTGTGTGTGATAAAGGAGACTTGTCCAGCTCGTTTAGCGACGATGGGCATATCATCCTCCGGCTCTTGGCTCGCGTCAAAGTCATTGACACAGTATAGCCGTGGCTGCCCTTTCATCCATTTTGCAGCGCCCCAACGCTCCTTGGACATGGACTCCATGTTGCCGACATCCGTGAAGGCCTTGATTTTCTTGAATGGCTGTTCGCTGAGAGATCCATCATCGAAGATATCGGGTCTGAACATGGAGCCGCACTGGCCTCTGAAGAAGTCGAACTCAGAAGCTTGGCGAAAGGAGGGGGTGATCTCATCGGATTTGCCAGCTTTCTTCCAGTGTACCTGGACAAAGCCATGGCCAGAGTTCTAGCCACTGGGGTTTTGCCTGCCCCAGGCTCGCCATGGAAGCCGATTGCCTTGTCAGAGAGAGAGGGCACCAGCGGAGCGAGGGCGTTCAGCATGCGGCCATCAATGTCATACAAGGTAAGGGGCCAGGACTCATGCACTGCTGCCAGGACACCATCCGTGGCCAAGTTGCGAAGGGACTTCTCCACAAGGACAGCGGCCCACTTGTATATGGGCGAATCTGGCGTGGATGTCTGGATTGTGACCCACCTGAGCTGCTTATTCTTGATATTGTCACGAGGCCCATTCTCTTCAATGAAGTCAAACCCGAAGTTCCACTCGGCTTCTGACTTCTCAGCATCAGGCTTCCCTTCCTCATGGCTTCGCAGAACGTGGTTGCGACACTGGTGCCCGCCAAGGTTCTCGAAGATGTAATGCAGGACCTTCTTCATGTTCTTGACATTGTTTTGCCAATCTACCATGCGAGGGGTCGAGTACGTCATGGCACGCACGTCCACTATCTTCATCTTCTCCTTGAAGTTAATGATCTTCACGACGCAGTGCTTCCCGTTCACCTGCGGCAGCACCGCGATGTCAAGGAGATAGGGCTGTAGCGGTTGTGACTTGAGTCCATAGGGTTCTGGCAAATCCCTACAACCCGACCCACTCGAGAGCGCCTCCTTGATTTGCCCATGGGGAACTGGTCCGTCCACGTCCATAAGGATCTCCACAACGCACTTGGCTATGCCTGCGGCTGGCATGTCATAGGTCGGGAGATCCACCAGGCCAAGAGGACCTGCTGCCTGTTCATGGAACGTGTGCTTCGGGACCGGGTACAAGGACAGCCTCTGGACCAGCTCCTTGAGCTCGTTTGGTGAGACTTCCCCGGACCCGAGAGATGCCATGACAGCTAGAAAAGGAAAGGGGGCGGCTTAAACTGTCCCTTTGATGGCTGCAAGCTACTCTGACACTCACACACAACCTGTATATATCTAAATGGAATAAACCCTTGCCCTTCAAACAAGCAGAACAGTTGCCCTTCAGATAAGTAGAATTGTTGACCTTGAGACATTGCCCTTCAGATAAGTAGAAGTATTGACCTTGAGACATTGCCCTTCAGATAAGTAGAATTATTGACCTTGCGACATTGCCCTTCAGATAAACAGAATAGTTGCCCTTCAGATAAACAGAATGGTTGCCCTTCAGATAAGCAGAATAGTTGCCCTTCAGAGAAGTAGAATTATTGGCCTTGAGACATTGAAAAAACACCCAAAAGGTAGTTCATGGGGGGGGACCTGAACATATATATATATATATAGATACATATCATTAGTTATACATATGTTTGCACAGCCAATTCGTGGCCAGTCACTGTGATGGTTGCAAGCTGTAGGGCAAACTCCCTTGACACGAGGTTTCTCTCTCAGGCTCCGCATCTCAAGCTCATTTCAGCATCGTTGCACCGCATGGCTTCGCCACGCAGGGACATTCTTGCAATGCAGTCCTTGATTCCACACTTAGGTCAGGAAAGCAGTATGTCAACGAGGTATTTGTTCAAATAAGAGGTTCGTGGGGGGGGGGGGACCAAAACGAGCCGTTTTCCTTTTGACTTCCCCTCAGACATCTTCAGACAAAACTTAAAAGGAGTACCTCAACAAACAAACACGCACACACGCACACGCGCACACACACACACATACATTTGTTTTCCCGTGTGGTCCTATGGCAGTGCGGATGCGAATCTGGCATTGGGCGCAGGCTGAAGCGTTCGGATGGTCATCTGACCTCCGGGTGTTTGGTTCCCAAAGGCCACCAATTAAAACAAACCAAACACTTTTGGGTCCCCCTCACCGTTTTTGAAATTCAGGGGTTAGCCAATTCCCCCCCAAATCGAGAAGTTTCACTGAAATCTTCCTCAACTGATCCACAAGGAAACACCAAACACAGCAAGTGGCGGCATGGACAACCCAGCCTCCCATCAAGTACACACTCAAAATCGATTTCAAAGACTCAATTCGGCGCATCCTGGCTTGTTTGAAACAGGTCATGCACCCAGCTCATCACCATAGGCCTGCATATCAGTCATGAGGATGTTTTGTCAGCAGTTGTCACTGGGTGAACACAGCCACTCGGGGCCTCACGTTGTCAAACTAGTAGGGCCGCACGCACGCGCACACACTCACACACACTTAAACTCCCGAAGGAGAAAAACAAGTGGCTTCGAGTACGAATATGGCGAGTCAAGCGTCGAGTATGGTCGACTGACTTCAAAAGGGCAAGCATAGAAGCAGAGCTCAAGGGAGGGAAGCTAAAAGGACATTGCCTAGCTTTGCTAAACCAGGTCAGCAGCAAGACGCCTCATCCCCTTGCTGCAAATGGGTTCCAGGGTATATCTGGAACTCCGGAGGGGGGTCCCAGCAGAAAAGAAACAAAGGAAAAGCAGTTGGGCCTCTGCGGGCAAAATCCCAACCAAGGAACAAGAAAACCAGGGAACCCAGGCTTGGGGTTTCCGAGGGCAACAACCCTAAACAAAACACTCCTGGAAGTAGCCATCCCGCAAAGGCCAGGAGCAAGAAGACCACAAGCCAACGGAGGAGGAAGAAGACGTCAAGCCAAATGGTGTGAGGGCAACAAGGAGCGCCAGCACGAAGACAGACATGAAGAGAAAGAAGAGGACAAAGGCAAAGAACAGGAAGACGAGGAAACCATCCCGCAACCAAACCAACAACAGAAACGGCAAAGCCGTCCCGGGGCTACTCAATGGGTGCATTGAAAGGATAAACGCACTTATATTAAATTCCTGAAGGACAAAGGCAGGTGACATTGAGTACGAATAATCGAGTATCAAGCGTCGAGTATGGTCGAGTCAAAACCTTCCCTTTAGCGCAAAAACAGCAGCGCGCAGGTAGGCCAGAGTGGAAACTCCGGCGCGCCGTCTCGCTGCCTAGCTTTGTTAGACTCTGTTAGACAAGGTCAGCAGCAAAACGCACCCGCTGCTGCAAATGTTGGTGCGAACGCGCCAGCACACGCACACACACAACACAAAACGCAAGCAAAAACAAAAACACACGCACGCACGCACGCACGCACGCACGTACGCACGCACGCACACACACACACACGGCACGGCACGGCACGGCACGGCACGGCACGGCACGGCACGGCACGGCACGGCACGGCACGGCACGGCACGGCACGGCACGGCACGGCACGGCACGGCACGGCACGGCACGGCACGCACGGCACGGCACGGCACGGCACGGCACGGCACGGCACGGCACGGCACGGCACGGCACGGCACGGCACGGCACGGCACGCACGCACGCACCCACACACACACACACACGCACGCACGCACGCACGGCACGCACGCACGCACGCACGCACGCACGCACGCAAACACACACACACACACACACAAAAGCACAAGCACAGAAATGCAGAAGCACAGAAACATGAAAGAACACAAGCACACAAACACACAAACACACAAGCACGCAAACGCACAAACACGCAAACACACACGGACAGACACACAAACACACAAACAAACCAGCAAACAAACGAAGACACACAAGAAAGAGACACATAAACACACAAAGGCACAAACAACGAGACACACACGAAAACACCAAAACACACAAAGACAGAAAAAACAGAAACACGCAGACACACAAACACGCAAAAAGAAAACACAAAAACACAAACACACAAAGACACAAGGATAAAGACAGAAACACGGAAACACAAACACGCAAAGGCGCAAATACACAAACACACAAAACACACACGTGCAACCCGCCCTTTGGAGCCTCTTGCTTGCCAGCAGCAGAGAGGGCGTCCAAAGCTGGAGCCGGTTTGCCGCCCGCGTGCGCCTGTGCCGGCACAAATGGGTTGCCTCCGTTCAATTCGCGGCTTGACTGACTGCTGTTGAGCGAATTTCTACCTTGCTGCAGCTACCTTGCTGCCCTCTGACCCTGCATCCTGCCTGGCACCCTGAAGGTGGGAAAGCCTGGTACATAAACTTCCAATGTCTCATGGCCGCAAAACAAATGCCAGTACTTTAAATGGTTTGAACTATTTGCGCTTTGCAGACTGGGGTGGCAACATGTTATTGTGCTGGAAACCACTGGCCCTTTGAAGTGACACTTTCCGTGGCTTCTTGTCATGGCCACTTCTCGCGCGTGCAAGAACGCCAATGCTACATTGGTCCAAGACACACAGGCGCAAAAGACTGGAAAGCCTGAAAATTACAGCGTAGTTGGCTCCTGCCCTCACATGCTCCAGCCCTGATGTTCTTTCTGTTCCAAATGGGCGATAGGAAAGCAAACCGCCCTGCTCTGCTGGCAAATGTACATTTTGCCTGGCGGCGGCTTTGGAGCCTTACAATTTTTCTTCTCTGAGCGGCAGGGTGGGCATCTGGCGGCGCCGCTTTGGTGTCCGAGTGCGCCTCAGGGCTTTGCCGAATGTTAAAACTTCAGCGGGCAATTGGTTCCATGAAGAGGAACCTTGCCACTCATCGCCTCAAGTCTCTGGAGGCCTGACCACGCCTACCAATCTCGGGCACCACGGAAAGGAGTCTTTCACCATGACACAAGCAGAACTCTCGCAACAGACCTGGTGTTACGGGGGCCACAAAAAAGACGCTCTCTGTCGCGCGCTTTCTCTCTCTCTCTCTCTCTCTCTCTCTCTCTCTCTCTCTCTCTCTCTCTCGGCTGCATGGATCAATGTCTCGTGCCACCGAATGTGCTGTAGAATATCATAAGTGGCGAAACAATCTCGCCGAAAAGAAGCTTGGAATGAATGTGCCTGCTCGGGACAGTAGTGACTTAGTGAATGAAGTCAGTGTTGGGCACAGATAAGATGAAGAACAAATGGGGGCATAAAGCTGCGCTGGTCGACTCCTGCTCGCAAACGGTCTCGGAACGGGCTCGGGCCAGGGCACACGCGCACTTTTCGCTTTGTTGGTTTGGCGATCAGAGTCCGTGACAGGCGCAGATTTTTTTGCAGCGAACATCCCAGTGCGGATGTGCAAACTGGGACATGCAAGATTTCTTGGCAGGCGCAGAACTTTCGCAAGGGTACGAGAGATAGACACTCTCGGAGCATTCATAGACGGGTCAGGTCAACATTTTTTTAGATAGATCGACATTGACTGCTAGATGACGGATGTTTAGATGGGTAAGTGAATGCAAAGATGAAAAGGCAGACAGACAGACAGACAGACAGAGACAGACGGACGGACAGACAGATAAGATGGATAGATTAGTTTCTTTTTTAGCTAGGTCAAAAGAAAGACAATGAGTCAGTGAGTCAGTTCGTCAGTTAGCCCGTTAGTGAGTTAGTTAGTTAGTGAGATATTTACTTGCTAGTTGGTTGGTTGGTTGGTTGGCTGGTTGGTTGGCTTGGAAAGCAGTCAGGCACATTCGCTAGTGGCTAGTGAGTTAGTTTAGTTAGTTAGACAGATACACAAATACATCTCAAAATCTCAATAGATAAATATGCATCGACAAAGATAGATAGGTAGGTACATAAGATAGACAGATTGATAGATAGATAAAAGTAAAGGGACAGGCAGGTGAACAGAAAGATGGACACATGTACCGATAAATAGCGAGAGAAAGGTTGATCTTGCTAGATTAGGTTCGGTTAGGTTTGCTTAGCCTAGATAGCTAGCAGAACAAGAGAAGGAGAAAAAAGAAAGAAGAACCAAGAGAGAAAAGAGAAAGAGACGGAGAAAGAAACAGCGCAACAAATGAGAAAGGGAAAGAGAACCATCGTTCGTTTATGCTGTAAACTTCCGCTATCCGGCGTCGCTGGCTCTACCTGGCAAAAATTGACACAATAACTGCTAATAGTTGACTTAACTGCTATACACGTGACTAAATTTGGTTCGGAAGAACCCGAAGCCCCACTCAGACCATTCGAATTGCTCAGCCATTACAGCCCTTACAGATTGGGTACCCCATGAAACCGTCAAGACAATTAGAGTCCCACGGCCACGGCAACAACCACGGCAATTTCCCCGTTAAAACATTGACTTTTAGCGGCAACGGCAACGGAAACGGTAAAAAAAACGGCCCACTGTAAAAAATAACTTTCACGGTAAAAATTGTCTTGCCCGGTGGAATGCGCTGAGCTTGGTGAGGGTCCACGCTAACTTCAATGTCTTTTCCCCGAAAGCGTAGAAAAGGGATCTTTGGAAAAACGGGTTGCTCTGCTTGCGTAGCCTGGCACTCGCAGCTCAGAATTGCTCAGCTCTGCCCAGCTCAGCTTTGCGCAGCCCAGCTGCGCGAAGCCCAGCTCGGATTTTCTACGTCGCCCACGACCTCTGCGGCGATCACGCGTGTCTCAAGGCAGGCGAGGATCGTGTGTGCCACATCGCTCTCGCTGAGTGGCCCCGCGCAAGTTTCAAAGCTTGCCGGCGAACCCTGCGAAGATCAAAGGTGGCGTTGCCCTCGCTGAGGCGCCGAGCAAACCTTGCGCAGGGATCATGTGTGTCGTGTGGCGCCGTGAGAATGTCAAAGCTGGCCGACGAAACCTCTGCGGCGATGTCCCGCTCGTCGAAGCTCGAGCTTTGGCGCTGTGCAAAACTTGACTTTCCTACTCGGGCTGTGGAAGTCGTCTCGTGGCTTGCGCGACGGCTCGATTCCCCGCTGGTTCGCTGGCTTTCGGACACCGCGTTGCGCGTAGCATGGTGCACTTCAACGTGGCCTTGCTTCACAGCAGATCCTAACTGAGCCTTGCTGCGCGACATATCTCGACGTGGCACGCTGCGCAGAACATATCAACCCGTCTTGCTGCACAGCTCATCTGAACATAGCTTTGCTGCACAGCACCGCGCATCTCAGATAGCCTCGCTGCACAGCTCATCTCAACATAGCCTCGCTGCACAGCTCATCTCACATAGCCTTGCTGCACAGCGCATCTCACCATAGCTTTGCTGCACAGCACATTTCAACATAGCCTTGCTTCACATCAGATCAAATCATAGCCTTTCTATGCGGCGCATCTCAACATATCCTTGCTGCACAGCGCGTCTCAACATAGTCTTGCGTATGCTTTAAAGTGCATCTGAACATATCGTTGCCGCGCAGTGCGTCTCAACCTAGCCCTCGCTGTGCGGCTCTGCTTGGGGTTTTTCCTCTTTATAAACGCTTTCGGGGAAATCGGGGTCCAGTTTAAGTACCACAACAACTTGGTTGAAAGAAGGGTGAAATCCACCGGAAGATTCTCTCTCCAATCTCAAGCGACCTGCAGGAGTTGCCACCGGAACTGCTCCCAGGAATGATCCACCAGCTCCTCAAAGGTTCCTGGGCTGGGGTCCCCCAAAAGGACATGGGACAATTCGTGGGTAGACTCCTGGGTTTAGAAGGGGCATCTTGTGTGTCCAGTGTTTTGTGGGGGAAAGTAAGGACTCCCCTGAGGTTTGGGGGCAAACTGGTGAGTCTGCTGATTCGCGTGGGGAAATTGAGCGACCCTCCAATGTCCCTCCCAAATGAGCCATAGACCACATTTTTGGCTGATCCTCACATTCTTGTCTTTTTGTCTCCAAACGTTGTGGAGGAAGAAAAAACAGGACCCGGTCTATCAAGCAATAATAGGGCTTCATCCATTGCAACTGCTGCGCAGTAGGGGACGCCCCTCCAAAAAACGAAAAAAATGAAAGGGTAGCTTCAAAAAATGCAGCTTGCTCTTGGACCGATCTGCAAGCTAGATTTGTTGAAGGCGAAACGAAACACGGCAGTTCACAAAAGGGCAAACGCACTGTATCTGGGTGTGTCCTCTTGATAGCTAGCTTTAAAGGGAAACCAAAAGGAAACCTATGCGTTTGTAGGGTTTCCCCTATCTTTCGGACACCCACCTTTCTTTGGGCGCGGGCCAAACATCGACATGGAGCAGTTCAGTGTTGCCTCCACCGGCCGATGAAGCAACTGGCTTGGATGCTGCGTTCACACTCTGAGTTCTATGAAATCCAAACGTTCAAAGACTTTGAGCACAAAACCTCAAGAAAATCCGTTGCTTCAATGAAGTGCGAATCGCACGACAAATGCAGCCAAGGCTCCATGATTCGACCCCGTCGGCATGGCTGGATAGTTTTGGAGTAGTCTTGTTCGAGGATTGCTGCATTCTTGGGAGCTGTTGCTTCAATATCCCACTGCGGCGTGAATATACTGTGCGAGCGAAGCCTGATCAATTGTATCGTGGATTGGATTTAAATATGATCACTTCCCACATTGAATGACTAACGCCTGTTGATTGTCCCAAGTTTCTGCGTTGATCGCGTCAGACCGTGGGAAAAATGGCCACTCGCCCCCTTTGGGCGGTGCCTTGAAGCTGTATGCCACGGACACAGCCATACAGAAAAACCATGAAGCAACAAACCAGTGCAATTGTGCAAAACCATGTGCCTTGAAACTCAAGAGCCTTCAAAGCTCTCAGGGCCTGATTCCCCGGATTGACGAACCCTTCGCAACGTTGCACCACTTCTAAGCGGTTTGGCACCCCTCGACAAGTGGGACAATGGCCAGACCCTAGGGGTGCTGGTCGCGGATTTTTGGAATGATTGACATTGAATGCCATTCCACCAACATGTTCTCATAGAAACTCGTTTTTGCCTCCTGACACAGCCTGCACCTTTGAAAGTCGTAGAACAACAACTTCTCGTTGGTCGTTCTCCCTGGTCTCGCCAAATCTCAGGCATGCGTCCCTTTTTCACGCTGGTTTCAAGCGCTGGGAGCAAGGGCTGGGCTTTGACCATCCCGCACAGACCAGTTAAAAATCTCAATGAGAACTCCCCGCAAATTAACACGGAACTCAAGGGGCGGCCCAAAAGGCCTCCAAAACTCCTGGCATTCAAGGTTGATTTGCAGGGTACAAGAACATACAGGAACATTTAAGACGGTCACAGGCTTGGCCGTGACACTCACGGGAAACGAAACTGAACTGCCACGTGGCGACAGAATCAGCATCCCGTTGTTCGGCGAGCGTGTTCAGACATCGCAGCCGGCTGAACTGATCTACGCATGAAGCTCAAAACATGCTCAAAACCCAATGGCCCGATGCGGAACGAAGAGCCAATCGACCGTTTAAGAAGGATCCTTTGTCTGACAGCGAGGTCGCAAAATGTTTAAGATGGCTCCCACCACCTCCAATCCACACCCCCAGGGGTTTAGTGGGATATGCAACAGCCCCTACATAAGGGCTACCCTGGGGGTAGCGGATAGATGGGTGAGTATGTCAAAATTGCGAAGCTCGCCCCGCAGTGGCGGGTTTGCAGTTTGGTGTCCCTAGAAAACCAACCCCCAAAGGGCACCCTCTAACAAACATACACACACACACACCAATTGTTGTTGTTGTTGTTTTCGTGTCGTCCCGGGCATTGCCCGGCTTTGACTCTTCAAAATGCCTCGGGCGTTGCTGGTGGTGTGCTTATCGTGCTGACCGCTGCAGGCTTCTGCGAGACCACATTAACCTGGGCAATCGCTCTAGGCATAGCTGTGCTTCAGTAGGGTACGAAATACGGCAAAGTTATCCTATGGCAGAACTATTCAGGAACCAAAAAAAATGCAAGGGTACCAAAGGCACCAAATGCTTAAGTTTGTTTTGTTTTAAAAAATTGGATGCGGGGATGGTGCCAACTCTTTGTGCTCCCTAGTCTTCGCCCAGCCCAGCGACACCCCACCAACTAAATGGGTCCCCCTGTCTCATGTCCAGTACTTCTTTCTTCTGAGAACTAAGAAAGTGGGACAGCTTCTGCAAACCATACCCATGCCCCAAACTGCCGATGTCCTTTCATATCCTGTATGCAGATGTGCACAGCCCACAAATTTGCCAATAGCCCATGGCCCCCCAATAGGGGAAATGAAAACGGGCTACTCAATTATGCATGTTGTCCAAGCCCAAAAAACAAACTACTAAACCAAATCAAAACCAGCACTAGGCAGAAGAGGACCGAAGAGCACCGAAGACAACCGAAGCAATACTAAGCCAATGCTGAGCTGATACAAACTAGTACGCAGCCAGTACTAAGCAAGTACTATGGCAGCACGAAGCAATACTCAACCAATACTAACCAATACTAAGCCAGTACCAACAATCCAGCACAAAGCAATACTAAACCGATACTAACCTATACTAAGCCAGTACTAAACTTGAGACACGCCAATCTGACCCCAAACTGTTTTACCGGACTTCTCTATTGGGGCTTCAAAATGTGGTTGAAGGGCGGGGGGGAGGCCTTTATTGTTGAGGCACCCAAACTAACCTTGAAAAAACACGGACATGATTTGCCATGAGCCGGATCCCACAAAGCATTCCACAAATAGATCCTTAGAAAGCAGACATGGGAGCCTTTACAAATCTACTGCTAAAATCAACCACAAAGTCTGAGAGGTGCCTTTATGTTTCGATGGCCAAGCTGATTGAACGGAAGTCCTTGCCGTTTGAAGAGACCCCCATGGCTTGCGAAGACATTGCTTTCCCGCCATTGATTCTAAAAGGCTTCAGGCAATGGTCGTGGTGAAATGGCGGGCGCTTCATGGGCTAAAAACCTGTCCTCGTAACATGAGAGGTGACAATTTTCTGAAGTTCTTATCCCTTCAAGACAAAACCAGTCGAGAAAGGAATAGTGGGGGGACCTCTAAGATGATGTCTCTTCGTTTGCTTTCCCTGACATGAGTACCCCGAGAAACATGCCTCCTTACAGCACACCGCGGGCAATGTCCTTCAGCGAGCTGCGAGGCCCTGATAGGGCGTGCCCAACTTGCCGCCCGCCTGCAAGCGAGCAGTTTGACCCAGGAGCGAGCAGCTTGACGAATATTCACTTATCCTCACTCAGATTGTAGTATTTTCAGAAAAGTCTTGCTTTGCACTTTCGCGCTCACCCCACACCCCACGAGTTAGATCTGCAAGTTGATTTCGCGTCCAATTTTGGGATCCAGTTGAACCGGGAGGTACCGTTCGTTCTCCTCAAGGTCAAAACAGGTAATCCGATTATACTCTAATTCTATTTATGGCGCGCACACACACACATGGCGAATTCCGATCGCAAACAATCCGATGGGAGTCATTCCGACACCTGGCTTGCTTTGTGGTCCCATTTTAATGGCTTTAGACTACAGTACCGGAAGCCGGGGTGGGTCGTGGGGAGTTCCTGGGATGAGAACGACATCCGCCTTTTGGGAGCGCAGTAAGGCGAGCATTCCAGCTCGCAGCTCTGAGTAGTCCTCCTTGAACGCCTCAACATGGGCGCCTCTAGGGCGCCTCTACGGGCCGACCGAAGGCAGGGTAAACTGGGTGGTTCTCAAAAGCCATCACATTTGGGCCATTTGGGCCAGGTTGTTTTGTTTGATTGTTGGTTGGTTTGCTTGTTTGTCTGACTGTCTGTCTGTCGGTCGGTCGGTCTGTTTGTTTCTTTGTTTGTTTGTTTCTTTGTTTGTTTGTTTGTTTGTTTCTTTAAGGGAAACCCAAGGAAACCAGCCACCTAAAAAGTCCCCTGAATTGTCCATAGCCGTCTGGAATAAGGACTCAGGATCGAGCTTGACCAAGTAAATTCAAACTGCATCATGCCCTGGTCATCATTCGTCTTGGTCATGTCCGGAATCTTGCGAAAACACTGGCAATGAGGCTGGACAATCGTTCAAATGTGAAATAGTGATTGTTGCATGATCGCTAACTCTCAAGCACATCGGTGATGGGAGCAAATCCAACTTGTCCATGGTCCCGAATCTTTTTTGTTGAGTTCTGCTTTTGCTCACACATTTGGGCCTCAAACTTCAAATGTGGCCGGCAGTTGAACTTGAATGGAAAAGGCCTTGCGACGTCTCAGGGTGAAATATCATGACCGATGGCGAATGGTCAGCCAAGCATCGGCCAGCATGCTGTGGACGGATTTTGTGGCAAGAAGCGTTGCCACGGTATCACCTGAGCAAAAGCAAGAAGATCTCAGCCAAGTCCCAGAAATGTCAACTCGGAACCTTCGGCGAGTCAAAAAATGAGGCGTCCATCGGCTGAGCTCATGGCTCTTGGTGAGATCCCCGCGGATCTTCAGAAGGCCCTGGACGAGTTCGGTGACGTGCAAGGTGCTGCTGGCGTCGGCATCGATCACCTGAGTTGACCAGGCAGCCACGGCTGTGTGCCCCAATGAGATACTGCGAGAGAGATCCTGCGGCTGAACTTTACCTGGGGCCGCAGCAGCCACATGCCTGCCTCCACATTGCCAATTATTGAACTAAACTTGCAAATTGTCTAAAAGTCTACGTGCCCTGTTGCTTCCCGGTGCTTGACTTTCCAAGTGCGTCGTGTCAAGCTTGCAAACTCTCCTGCGAATTTCGGTCTTGTTGGCGCCTCCTGCGGCTTTCGCAACATGTTCACTTGTCGTGTGAGTTCTTGACTGTCTTTGGTCAACCACGTGTTTGGCTTGTCGATTGCGTCCTGCGTTTCTCTGATTGGGTCAGGTTCAAAGTACGGCTGGTGGCTTTCAGGGCATATTTAGCTAGTCCTTGAGTGGGTCAGGGTGACTCAGGATCTCTTTAGGGTTAGCTTTGGTGCTCTGGATGAGTCTTTTTTGGGCGTTTGTTCAAGGGTGGTTGCGCGATTGATCATTCTAGCATGGCGGCGTGAGTTTCGGTTTTTAGGCTGTGTAGGTTGAGTTCAGGGTCAATCCAAGCCTTTTGCGGTCCCTTGTGAATCGGATGCTTCCAAACTCCACTGAGGTGGCCAATTGCCAGCCATGGGAGGCCTGGTGTTTCTTTCAAAATGTAATGGCTTACTTGTTCTGTGATACGGGATCCAAACTGGCTCATTCCCAAACCCCGTGATGTCTGAGAACCATGGCCAGCCTCGAACAAGTTGGCACGGTCAGCGGGCAAGTCCAAATCGTCCATGAGCTTCTGCACACTTTGATCCTTCGCCCGAAGGCTGGGCCAAAAACGCCATCCTCGAGGTACGTACTCTTTGAGGTTGTGTTTACAGCGGTCCCTAATTTTGAGACATGTCCATCAAGTGAGCGGTGGTCTAAACCCGGGTTCCACGCGTTTTTTTGTGTCTTTTTAAGCGACCTTTCGCGAATCTTGTGTATTTCTTAGTTGTCCTTTCACGGAGCACATTGAGCCAAGAGACCCTTTCGCGGAGCTTTCGCGGACGGTTCAGCATGCAACCCAGTGTTTAAAATTAGCATTTCGCGGCCCCGTTCCTTCGCGCCCCTTTCGCGAAAATTGCGTGACCCTGTGATGCGCAGCAACTTCTTTCATCGGGGTTCGGAACGCTGCTCAATGGGTTGCACTTCTGTTTCCCTTGAAAACCACCTGCAAAAGGGCGCCTTCAGAAACGCACACCTATAACTTTTTGGGGGTTGGCAGTTTGTTCAAGATCTCCTGGGATCCCTAAACGGGGACAACTTGTTTGACAACCCCACAGTGACATCCTCAAAGTTTATCTCTAGGCTTTTACTGATTCAGATGACACCCAAACTCCAGGATATCTTTCAGGTCTTTCGGTCAACGTTGATCTGTAGGGAGTCACATGGGTTAATCGCTCTCAATACTTGAATTTCCTTCATGCGTTCTTGCACTATTGGGACGCTAGTATTGAACGTTTTTTTCCTGAGTTGGATCATAAGCATGATTGGGATTTGTACCGACAATTAAATAGATCACATGCTCAACCCGCGCCAGCCAAATGATAAGCACACCCGCTCGATTGTACCCGCTCATTCCTGCACACGCGCAAGCCACTATAGTGATAAGAACCCGCTGGGCTGCACTCGCTCTCTCCTACACATGCCAGCTTTCACTGTGCAGTTCATGTCATCAAAGTTGGCTCGTTGGAACCTGGCAGAACACTAATCAGGGGTGGGTCTGGCAGAGCTACAGTCCGAATCTTCCTGTAAGTGACTCGGAACTTTCTTCACAACAAAAATGACCGCGGTGCGCTTTGGCGTCGCGCGCGAACAATGCAGCTGACAGCATTGGAGCGTTGGAGAGTTGGAGCGTTCTTTGTTGTTGTTGGTGGTGCTGCTGTTGCTGTTGCTGTTGCTCTTGCTGTTGCTGTTGCTGTTGCTGTTGCTGTTGCTGTGGTTGCTGCTGCTGCTGCTGCTGCTGCTGTTGCTGCTGTTGCTGTTTTTGGCGGCGGCTACCACCTGCAACAAATTGGAAAAACAATATACGCAGTCAATCCAAAAAATAATATTGCCAAACCAAACAACAGCGAATCTCAGATTAGCAATTTGCCATACACAAGAAAGTAACTACTGGATTTATACGATCAAGTAGTGGCAATACTAAGTTTAGTATGTATGGTCAAAAAAAAATTAAGTGTGGGCAAGCCCAGTCCAACCCAACCCTAAAATGTTCCACTAAACAAGGCGGTCCCACATTACGCAAACACTCAAGAGCGATGTTTTCCATTAAAGCAGATCAGTCCCCCGACTAGGGAGGCGATACTTTTTCCTTGAAGACACAAGCAAAACATTATGTCCCGCGGCACTGCGAGCAAAGGTCGTCATGATCCCCCCCAGCACAGGAGGCTGCTTGAAAGGCCTTGCTTTGTTGCAGGGAGGCAACTGATCAAATCTTGCCCCTTCCAAACTCTGAATACCAAAAGTCGAGTAAAAACATAGTATGTTCATGGCTAGTCGAACCTAAAGTAAGAAACCGATTTGGAGAAGACACGCGATCAAATGTCCTGAATTACCAGGAGGAAGAGCTCCTTGGTGATTGCCTTGGATTTGAAATTGCGCGACTGAAACATGCCCCATGTTCAAACTCCTTATAACCAACAACATTTGGAGGAGCCTGGGCAATTTAAAGTGAGCTTCCCTTTGGTGGGGTGATGCCGAAAGGGGACATATGGGGGGACCCTTTGAACGCTACCTAAATTCGGTTGCGACAAACAACCCTTTCTGCAATGCCAAAGTGGGATTCCCATCGAGCTCACTTGAAAGGGGAACTATTTAGAAATCTTTAGTATGACAAATGGCCGTTTACGCACCATGAAAGCAACTGGCTTGCTCAGGTTCTCTGGTCGGGACAGCGGGTGCCCCTGATTCTCCTGATGCGTCTGAGTGAACCCAACTTTGGACATCCCGGACAAAGAGTTTCCCATCCAACGCCCTGCGACCGAGCTAAACACTGAGACAAAATTGTGGAAGCAACAATGGGTCCGTGTGAAGTAGTCTCCAAAGAACAGAACCAGATTGTGCCTGATTGGATCTTGCCCTTCAAAAAATAAACTTTGAGACGGCTGTGAAGTTTCTGACAGGCGGACCCCTCCCGAGGAGGGTTCATGAGCGTCTGGGTGCTAGTCAAGATGCAATGTCCTGAATGTCATCGTCCGTGAAGGCGTTCGTAGACAATGCATCCATCCCTTTTGACCGGCCCTCGGTGCCATAATATCACTTCAACGCACCAGGAACCACCAGGTGTCCACATGTATCCGCGCAGTTTATCATGTCCTTTTTGGAGGGAACCCTTAGATGGATGGTCTCCCCTTGGAATTTGTCTTTAAAACAAGGCCAACGAGGGTACCCTCAAACAACTAACCCATATCGTCATATACGTCCAAGCAGCTCTTCACAGCTGAGTTGTGCACGGCTATTGCCAAGCCAGGTCGGAGTGAAACAATTTATTCTTAAATTAGTTGAATTATTTGCACTGTGCAAGACAAAAGAGTTGCCGGAATCAAGACCTGCCTTCACATGTTAAGTCCCTGCCGCAAGCACTATCCCCTACCAACCTCAAGTAACAGGGTGGTTTGACCATGGCAATGTACTGAATGGACGCAGTCCCAAACTTGGGGGTTCGCTTACTGACATTGACGTGAAACAGCCGTCCAAGCAGCTTCCTGACTACGGCCAGTGTCGTGAAAGAGTCGATAGGCCTGAGCGCAAACTCTCGGAGAGACAGACTCTTGAGACGCAAGGAACGTCTAAGCGATTGCAAATTCCGCAATTGGCTGGACTTGTAGAGAGCTTCATCCAGATGCACTAAGCTGCCAAGTTCCGCGGTTCAAACAAAAATGACACTACATCGCGGCAACCAAAGGGACCTGAGCTAATGCTAACCTCAGCCAAGCCAGACCTACTTTCAATGGCAGAGCGGCAGAGTGCCCAAGAGATCTCTACAAATTGCTGTTCACTGTTGGCTTCCGTTTAAAACAACCTGGCTTTTACCCTTTACTATCTTTTCTCCGACCTGGCTTTCAAATCGCTCTCAATCCCATGCCTCTGCGAACTTCTTCAAGAGCTCGCCTTGGATTGCGATTCGGGACGCAAATGGCCGGTGAAGCCCTGCAGACGGATAGAGCCTCAATGTGAAAGTCGGAGTGGACGCGGTTCTGTGGATCCATCTCTGCAGACAATTAAAGCGTACTGAAAGAGTACTGACAAACACGGCATCTAATGCGTTTTCTGAATCAAACTAATTGCAATCTATGCGCAATATGCGCAATGCAAACAAACGACTAGTGCTTGCTACGTCATGCACGAGCATTGTTCCTGCTTTGACATGGACGAAATATCATGACAATCTCGTAAGAGGGGGTCCTGTTTCTTCGATCCCCAACGTGTGTTTGCGCGGACACCAAAAGGTAAAACGGTGGTCAAAAAACAGGTTTGGGGTTGGACAGGGAATTACCAACAGGATCTCATGAACTTCCAGTGTTTGGAGGGAAAATTCACCGATTAAGTCTAAGCCTGTCAGGTGGTGTCATTCTCCTGTGCAAGAAAAGCTGGCCAAGCACAAGTACTGGAATCGGAGCATCCGATCTCTGAATGACATTGCCTGCAAGTTGACTTATTGGATGCGATGTAGGCTTGATGCTCTCTTGAATCTGTGAAGAATGGCCCCATGCTCGTCCGGCGAAATAATAGGTTCTTGGCCACACACACACACACACCTGGAAGTCTTTGACTTGACGTTCAACATCTCAACGCAAACCCTGAAATGAAATGACCAAACATTTGAAGATTGGGTCTTTTTCAGCCCCCAAATCACTACTCGGATCAAACTAAGGGGCACCAAGTGTGCTCAAACTCTGGCTCCTCGTGGGTTCTCAAAATCAGGGCCCATGGATGGTTGCCTTTTGGTTTCCCGTCAAAACCAGCCAACGGCAGGTTACCGAAAAAAAGAGACACCCTCTTTGGCCGTGGTGCGGGTGGTTCGGGCGATGCGGATTGACTCGCGACTGTACTGCTCTGCGGAGACGGATTCCGTCTCCTGCAAGAGACATGTGGACGGAGAAATCATACACCTCTGAATAGGAGATTCGCCATCAATCTCAACAACTGATGGGTTTGGTCCATCAGCACTCTGGCAATCAGGGTTTGGCCAGTCATGTGATTCAACATGGCGTAAACCAATATCGCTTAAACAACCGTCGTTGCCATCAATACCTTTCGTAACGGCCCCTTGCCAAAATTGTCCAACGTTTTGGTGAAAATCTTAATGCCCTTTGGAAAATGAAGACTGATCTAGGATGTGAAGGGTCGTGACAAGCCTGGACAACATGCATTGTTCCAACATGGGTGTCCCTTCGCTCCTACTTTTTCAAGGAGAGAACATGAAAACTGCTCCGAAGGCATGAACCTGGCTGGAACCGGAGCTGCAAGTCGTGCAACTATGGAGGCCTAGCCCCTCTCCCCGCGAAAGGGCACACACTCAGCACAAGCTCTGAGAGCAAACAACATGGCTTTTCCCCTGGCACTCGCAGGAACCTAGCCATTGTTGGACCTGACTGAAAACTGTCTCACCTGTCAACTGCCTGCAGCAAATCATGCCTGATGACGTGAGCCACAACATGAGAGAAATCAGAAACATGTCAAAGTTGGTTCAACATGTCAATGTGACGATGGGGCCAGCTATCGCAGTGCCTACAAACTGCAGCCGCTCGGTCCTTTGCTGCACGCATAGTGATATCCACATAGACCTTACTTTTCATCAAAATAAAGTCAGTCCCAACCTCTTGCATCACTATGTGTGCGTGGCGGTGTCGCGCAACAGTGGAACACTAAAAGGAAGCAAGCCCCTTGCCGATATTGGTCATGTCACATCATGGACATTCTGAATCTGCCATTTTGAGTGTATATCTGGGTGACACTACTGTACTTGTCATTTGTGGGATCAACATGCCAAACCTATTCCTTCCCGGAGCGTGTGTCTCTGCGCGTGCCTGCGTGGGTGCGTGCGCGTGTGCGTGCACGTGTGCGTGTGCGTCTGCGAGTGTGCGCGCGCGTGCGCGCGTGGATGCGCGTGGGCGTGGGTGTGCATGAGTGTGCATCTGCGTGTGTTCGCGCGCGTGCGCGCTTGCGGGCGTGCGGGCGTGCGTGTGTTCCTGCGTAATTGTCTGTGCGTGCGTGTGTTTTTGTGTTGTTTTTGTGTGTTTGTGTGTTTGTGCTTTTGTGTCTGTGTGTCTGTGTGTCCGTGTGTCCGTGTGTCCGTGTGTCCGTGTGTCCGTGTGTCTGTGTGTCTGTGTGCCTGTGTGCCTGTGTGTCTGTGTGTCTGTGTGTCTGTGTGTGTGTGTGTGTGTGTCTGTGTGTCTGTGTGTCTGTGTGTCTGTGTGTCTGTGTGTCTGTGTGTCTGTGTGTCTGTGTGTCTGTCTCTCTGTGTGTCTGCGTGTCTGCGTGTCTGTGTGTCTGTGTGTCTGTGTCTCTGTGTGTGTCTGCGTGTCTCTCTGTGTGTGTGTCTGTGTCCGTGTGTGTCCGTGTGTGTGTGTGTGTCCGTGTGTGTCCGTTTGTGTCTCTGTGTGGCTGTGTCTGCGTCTGTGTGTCTGCGTCTCTGTGTGTCTCAGTGTGTGTTTAATGTCTGTAGCTCTGTCTGATGTCTGTGTCTGTGTCTCTGCGCGCACAAGGAGCGGCCCGCGGTCGCAGCATGCATTGGCCGAACGAATGGTCGGCGAATTATCAACTCAAAAGCAGTCCGAGACCAACCCATCATTTGAAGTTTGTTCTCCGCTCACAACAGCGAACAATGCTTCATCGCTAGAAGGCAGTCACAACCTGTGCAGCCAGAGGCAGAACCTCTCTTGCATGTAAGGCTCCGCTGCAACATTTTGAGAGGCCCCAAACCGTTCTCTTCCTTCGCACTGTTGAGCCAAGCGTCTGCCAGGATGACGTTGAACATTCCTAGCACGGGGTCGAATCTCAATTCTTCTCAGAGGGACTTAAGGTTGAACTCATGGACTCATGGTGTTTTAGCTTCTGGCCAGACTAATTCAACCAAAATCAAGCAAATACCAGTTGGATGCCCAGTTGTTGGCTTGTGCTTTTCAGGAGTTCAACTCCGACATGGCTACTCCCTGATCAAAATAGTGCCATCATCTAAAGGGAAGTGACCAAACTTGGACCATGATCATGGTGATGCCTTCCCAACATGTGATGGGAGAGCCATGGGAGTACCTGGACCCTCAGACTACCCTCTGGGGCAATGTCCGGTTCTTCAGGGTAGCTGTTTTAGTCCAAGTAGACGCCCCACATGAAATGGTGCTCCTTTTGCTTTAAACCAACCTGACAAAAATAGTAGCCTCCATAAACACACCAAGCTGCCCATTTCTGCCAAGCTGCCCATGGACACCAGCATGTATCCAAGCACGTAAGACATGCCGAAGGATACCCCATACTCCGTGACCAGAACCGCTGCGATGGGAACACCTGCCACTCCGAATGGGTGTGTGTGTGTGTTTGCGTGTGCGTGTGTGTCAATGGGCGACCGGGACCCGCGGTAATTCTGCCTTTAGTCTCCCTTCAAGCCCGAACAGGTACCCTAGAAGCGCAAATTGAAGGAAGGAACCGAAACAGGGTGCCATCAACAGGAGATCCCTCTAGAGGCTTGTTTGGTTCCAAATCTGTAGTGGAAGTATAGCATGTTCTCGCCAAATCCAAAAGCTTGCTCAACTTGACTCACGCCCAAGAACAAAAGGCATATTATTGAAGCCAGAATTGTAAGGTGGACAACTGTTCAATGTGCCATTTTCCTTGCCCATGAGAACACATTTAATGTGTACACCAATGTGCAAACCTAGTGAAAATACGGGGACCCACAAGCTGTTGGCCTTTGGTTTCCCTTGAAGCCGACCTGAAACGGCTACCCTCAAACATATCTATATATATATATATGCATATACATATGCACAAGACGCCCATCTCCTCTGCTTGCCCTCTAATGCAAGCAAAGGTGCCTGAGTCGGCAAAGCATTCGCCAGAGAAGCAGCGGAAGGCAGTGAACATCGATCTTGGCATGTGCTTTTTTGCTCTGACAATTTACAACCAGTTCCAAGTGGGGGGTTGCCGGGAGGACACGGGAGGACACGACCCCCTCAAACAACCCGAAAAGGGGGGGAAAAAGCACAAACAAATGGCCCCTTCATTCACGACTTTCCTCTGAGCCGTTGCTTCTTTCCGCCAGAGCTGCGGCTGCAGATCGTGCCGAGTGGCTGGGGGATGTTCTCGAAGTGACTTTGCAGGCCAAGGGCGGCGGTTCGGGCGTCCCGGCCCAGAGTCATGGTGGCAAGCCCGGAGATCACATAGAGCACCTGCCATTGGAACCAGAAGGAATTCCGCCCGGAAATTCGCCAACATATTTGCCGGGTTTCTCCGCCTGGGGTGATCTACCTTTAAGATGGAACCTGGGGTGATCTACAGCAGCCAGAGGTGATCTTTAAACTGGCTTAGGGAGATGCATTGGGTCACCTGTTGTGGCGGCCCATGCAAGGAACCCCCAGGATTTTGGGCTTCCCGAAGTCGACAAGGAATCGTTCTTCTCATGCTGAACGACCCAAAGAAGGAAACCAGAATAAAACGTTCTGTGTTGCCAGTGAAACGAACAAAATGATTCAATTATGGACAACGCATACCATATGGGTCATAGTTTGAAAGCCGGGTATATCGCTCTTTGAACTTTCCGTCTATCACATGTTCCCAGCCCCCCCCAAAAATAAACAAGACAAATCCTCCGCCGAATTTAGAGCAACAAAGCCGTCTGAAAATTACAGAGTTGTGGCAAATGGGGGCATCCTAATCCGTAATCAACGGAACACCATGGGGCCCTTGCAGATGGAATTGTTTTTTCCCCTCAACAACTTCAGCAGCCAGCAGCCTACCAAGGATTGAGCTGGAACGACCCAACTTACATTCCACCGAGCCACCTCCCTTTTAGGGCCCACCATTCTTAGTGAACCCAGATGAACATCTCGGCTTGACAAGCCGGGCAGCTGTGAAGAGCAGCGCGAAGGACATCGCTAGGGTGCGAAGCCCCCCCACCAGGCCCTTCACCATCAAGCGTAACTCCTGCGGATTTCTTCACAAGGCGAACACGTGCGCGTGGATTCATGAGAAGTATATACCTTGCACCTAGTGTATGTGCATCACTTCGCTGCTTGGATTTGTCACAAGTATATACAAGCCTCATAATAATTCTCAGTGTCGATACTTCATGCAGTCTTCAATCCATCTTTGTTCCAACTGAAACCAAACAAGACCGTGTCCTATGAAAGACGTGATTCATAGCACGGGCACAGCGTGCGCGCAAGTCGCTCAGAGCCATGCTAGGACTGAATGGGAATTGGCCAAACTAAGTATATCAAACTATCTGTCACCGGCTGGATATAAAGGATCTCATTGGGAAGCCTGGCCTGAAGTCCTCCTGGCTGCTCGTTCCCACCCACCCACCCCCCGGATGGACTTTCATGCCCATGCCCATTTCAAGTGGAGGCAAGCGATGAGTGACTTCCTGCTACACAGCATGGATCAATCGGCGCAAAGCTGTTGCTCTCAGATTTCAGGGAGCTTCACATGTCTGATACAACCATACTATGGACAGAATGGTCTGGACTCGTCCCAAACCTATCTACTTTCCCAAGCATTCGACGGTCGCCACGGTCAAATGTCCGAACCTGTGGGTCAAAAGAGCCTTTACAATGCTTTGCCAAAAGTCCCAACAAATCCATGACCGTCCTTACTGTATGGACAAACTCCTGGCCTAGGATGAAAGCCACCAAATATTACGATACACCACCAATCCCAACTGGTGCAGGGTGTTTGTCCATCAAAACCAAATTTGCAAACTTCAGTCCTTCATGCAGTGCAGGCGGAACACTTTCCTGAGGCATGAACTCTTCTTGGCCCACGTCTGGATTACAACAAAAGACGTTCCGAATCTGCTTCATGCTTGGCTTGCCAACAGAATATATATATATATATAACTGGAGGAGGAGACCCCAGTCTTGGTCTCTGACAGGAATAGAGAAACAAACTCATCCAGCTAAGCCACAGTCACTTCGATACAAGTGATCAACCAAAACCGTAGGGGGCATGCAGGGCAGTGCAGCCTGGCTCAAGGCAAGCCGTCCTCCAGCCGCGTTTTGGGCATGGTGCCCTGATGGTTGTGCTTTATGTTCATGTTTTAGATTGTTTAGGTAGGTACAGCGCTTGTGGAATCATGGTGGAGTGTTGCATGCAGGAAAAAGGGCGTGCCGCTCTTACCACGAGTGCCCGGTGAACATATGTCCGGGCAAATAATTTCCAAGCTGCAAATAAGGAAGTCCCCGAGTAGGGGCCCTTTATCGTCGGTAAGCTCATTTTACTCCTGACTCGGCGAACTCGTTCATTTTGCAAATACGTCATGTTGCTTTGGTATCAAAATGGATCACCCAAAACCACACTATTTCTGGCTGCAACTGTCTCTTACGAATCTTCATCTACCAAGGTTTTCATCATGGCACAACTGCTCAGCCAGGCTTCACCACCCGGACCAAGCGGATAAGGCGGCAGAAGCGTAAGAGAGAGGCAACGGCCATGTCGCTGTTTTGATCCACGGCAAACTGGCTCACCACATCGGCCACCGCCTAAATGCCACGTCGATACGAACACGTGCTTGTTTTGGAAACAAAGATGAGCAGACTGCGTTACCAGCCAGCGCCCATCCACTCAATCTGGACCGACTGCACATTGACTGACCCGGGCAAGCCCCATATCCAAGCCGGGGGTGGCCTTTGTTTCTCAAATCGGTGTGCGATTTGTTGAGGGTGCCCTTTTCACCCGAACAAACCCAAAAGGAAAGCCATGCGTGTTGGGTTTATGAGCCCTATTTTGGCGGAAGCACTAGCTACACGGTCACTCACTCGTCTGAAAGCTTGGACCATGGGAACTTGGAGCTCTGAGAGGTTCTCATGGATCTCCTTTTACTTGGTATTTTAAAGGGAAACCAAAAGGACATCGTTGCCTTTTTATTTCGACATGCGCGATCCGATGATCTGCATTGGTTGCCCAGTTCATCCCAACTCCACGAAGTCAGTCCGCAACTCAAGCACAAACACGTACTTGTGTCCGCTGTCCGGGTGATCAAAGAGCTTTATCTAAGCTCGAATCAACCTGTGGGTCCCTGGATCAAGCCTCAGATTCCGCAGATTCCCCCTGGTTGCGCCACCTGAACATGGAACCAGCATGGTCTTGGTTCTTTGGGGCTCGGACCAGAGATTCCCCGCGCAAAAAAAGGGGGAAAACGAGAACCACCTGGGCTGCCGCTGGCTGCCAATTCACTGCCGGGGCGCAGTGGCAACCAAGAATAGATCAAAAATATTCCAAAGCCACTCTGAGCCACAGAAGAACTTCCGCGGACGACAGAGGTAGATACGCACCACGCACT